GCGAGTCGAGTGCCTTAACCACCTGGCCATGCCGGACCCGTTTGCACAGGACGCCAGCCAACTCGAAGGGGGACGCCAATTGACTACAAAGTGAACTAATGTTTTTTTTATATATGTCGTACAGGGAGCCATCAAACATCGGCACGGCATTGCCTCCGTTAAAGAATTTTTCATTTTATATTTCCGAGGGAGTTACACACCCATCTCACACTAATAATATAAGATTCGGTGCCACCTCTTGAAAAGAGCACAGCCTCATTCCGGGAAGTATGACACAGGGGTCAAGCAGTTATGAATTTTACAAAACATTCGTTGTTGTACGTAACCCCCAAGCTAGAGGAAATCTCTTTATTTTGATGACAAAATGTATTTAGGTTGGAGGTTGTTGAATGGACGTATGAAAAGAAAACCTTATGAATTCGCTCATGGTGTTAAACTCTGATAAACGTCTGGTAGTATAAAATATTGTGAACTGTAATCTTCCATAACGTTAAACTTTTTTGTTATACACACAACTATTATGTGTAATACTGAACAATGGACTGTTGTCAGTTTGAACTCATTAGTTCCAACATTTAGTATTCAAAGAATGTAAGGATTGTTTGTTATTGTTCATATATCAATATATGCTACTAATTAATGAATAAAACAATAGTAAGTGTTTAGTTGTACGGAACAATGTGATTCTCTCAAACTAATTTGTTTGTTCGCAGCAAACAAATATTACAAAAAAAAAAAATGAATTTGAACCAAGAAGTTCAGTTCTTAGATATAGGGGGCTTAATGTCTAAAAAAAATATGCTTAGGCCAGTAGTAATGGTGTCCCAGATTGATTCATATTCGTTTGCACTCTTGTAATATCTGTCTGTCTTATGTGCGCGACGCTATTTATTTTGTCCACAAGCAGGCAGATGTCGCTGTTTTCCGAATTCACAACAACTGGATATATATATATATAAAACATCGAAGACTATGATGATAATGTTTTTGTTTGTTTGGTTGAAATTATGCACAAAACTACACAATGGACTATCTGTGCTATGCCCATCACGGGTATAGAAACCAGGTTTCTAGCGTTGTAAGTCCGTTCTACTGTGTGTGTTTTTTTCGTGGTGTTTATTTAACATACATAATTAAACTTTTGTCATTCAGAAAAATAAATGAAGATATATCTAACTTTGTCGTTTTTAAGTTTATAACATAAACACTAGTGATTTATTTTGTATAATCAGCTATAAACAATTCCCAAATTTCAATTTATAAATTACTTTTGTTGTTATTGTTATTCACACATTCTTCTTGATTATTGCATAATTTTGTTGTTATCGGATATGACAATAAACTAAAATGACAGACAAGATTCTTCCAAGGCCCGGCATGGCCAACTGGTTAAGGCGCTCGACTCGCAATCTGAGGGTCGCGGGTTCGAATTCCCGTCCCAACAAACATGCTCACCCTTTCAGCCGTGGGGACGTTAAAATGTGACGGTCAATCCCACTATTCGTTGGTAAAAGAGTAGCCCAAGAGTTGGCGGTGAGTGGTATGACCAGCTGCCTTCCCTCTAGTCTTACCACGCTAGAAAGCTGGTTTCGACACCCGTGGTAGCACAGATAGCCCATTGTGTAGCTTTGTACTTAATTACAAACAAACAGAATTCTTCACAAAACAAGCCTTTGCTGTTACCTTTCATAATCATTCTTTTAAAATCTTAAGTTTTCATTTGTATTTGCATTCAAAAGTAATATTGTAAAACTATTTGTGAAACATACTTCTCGTTTCAATCAAAATTCACAAACCAATGTCAAACTTCCTTTATTTAACGATCACCCGGTGGCTCAGCGGTAAATCAGAGGGCTTATAGCGTTAAAAATCGGGTTTCAACACCCGAGATGGGAAGAGCACAGATAAACAATTGTATAGCTTTGCGCTTAAGAACAAACAAACAACTTTTATTCATTGTAAATCATGAGCAATCCCTTAGTCTCACAACTACGTGAACGTTATTCGACGTGTCCTCTGTCAGAGTTAATTGTGGACTCAAGTCATTTCTTTAAAGTCTGTAAAAAAAGAAAATAATTAGGACTGTTAATTGTAAAGTTTATTTGCTTTTTATAGGTGTATATACTCTTAATGATGTAATATATAATCATATTTAATGTCATTAAAAATGTATTTTATTATTACTGCTGAAGGCACGGGTGTGCCTTGTAGTAGAGCTCTAGATTTCGCAGCTAGTGGGCCGGATTTTAATCTTAAGCACAAAGCTATACCACGGGCTGTCTGTGCTTTGCCCAACACAGATATCGAAACCCGGTTCGCAGACATACCGCTGTGGCACTGGGAGCCTTACTACGTTATAAGAGTAATAGTCAATCCCTTAACGTGGATGGTGAGTGGTAAGATATTGCTGACTGACTGTATTTTTTATGGCCAGTAATTCAAAATTAGGGAAAACGGCAGATAATCTTAGTAGCTTTAATATAAATACGCACCCTTTTAAAAATGTCATGTTCGAATAAAATTTCCAATGTTCACTTTGAGATATTAAATTAATTCACCTCACTTTTATAATCACCTAATCAGAGAATATACGTTTCTGAAATTGTTTACTACCTACTTTTGATGTAATTTAAGTTTGTTTGTTTTTCACAAAGTACAAAAAACAACAGTGAAGCGATTGCCAATATCGGATTTTTACATCTGCAATGTCATAACGAGAACGTTTGAAAATTTTTCCATTAGACCCTAGCAAACACGACACGCAGAAAATGTAAGCCTTTTTCATTGTTTTTTGTTTTTCAGTGTTTGGGAGTTTGTAAAGGTATGATCGACTTTTCCCAGATCCAGTCTATTCGTACGATTAAAAGTGCATTCAGTTTTGCATTTGATGTGATCACCAGAAGAAAAGTAATCCATCTGGTAAGTTTGTATAGTTTGGTATAAGCTGAGCTTCAATGAGTGTAAAAAGAATAGACAATTTGTTAGTCATGGAGTTAAACTTTGTTTAAATTAACATTGTTACAATCACTTTTAACAGTTTTATTGAATTAATCCTGTGGCTTGATAATACTGTTACACTAATACCTTTTTCTGTAACCTTGATAGTAATATTGAAATATTATGATACTGTTACTGTAATCTTTATAACAATGTAGTAAGAATAATGTCCGGATAATCTTAAACAATATTGCTGTAAATATGGTAACGCTATGATAATGATTATACTGTAATTTTTTATTAACATTGTGTGACTATAATAATAATATTAAATTTTACACTCCTACTGCTGTCTGCTGGAGGTGTGTTTTTGGTTAGTGTGGCTTTGTACTCACTAGTTATGGGTTGACACGCCACCATGAAGAATGAGTAACCTTAAGTGTTTCAAGTTCTGTTTAGTATGTTATGCAAGAAACTGAAAAATGGCGAAAAGGTGTAGTTCAAAATGAACTAACACTGATAATAGTGCTGACAATAATGTTTCAGAACGTCAACCTAGCAGAAAGCTTGCATATGTTGTCCCAAGTAAATGCATACAGTACTTATGAGAGTCTGCTTGATCTGCATAGCATCCTCCATCCTCCTGAAAATGATTGAAAGCCTTTCTAAGATACAAGGCTAAATATACTTTCCCTTTAAAGCATTGATGTGTTTGCCAACACAGTATCATACAGACTGATTTCAAGTGGCATATGCTTACACAAGTACTAAATAAGATTGGTTGGTTGGTGGAAACAAGGTAGTTAAAATTGGTTTGTCAGTCACCCGACCATCAAACATATAAGGTTATCACAATAGCAACGCTTTCTAAGGCTTGGTCTTTTCTCCCTGAAGTCAATTTCACGAACTTGTCTGTGAATGTAAACGGACAACTTGTAGATAGTATCGTGAAGGCTCACTTAAACAAATAATGGCGTACAACTACAATTATTGTAAAAATATTACCATCATGAAAGAGTAACAAAATTGATTTAGGAGTAACGTGGAAAACACTTTACTTTAGCTAAGCAATGATAGTGTTGAATACTGTTGCGTCAGTGAGATCACGTGACTATTTTGACGCCACCTATTTTCTAGAAGTATCTTGTTCCTTCGTGAATGCCCTAGCATT